AGGTCTTCTAAGTGTAATGCTATTCATTTATGGTGCAACTACTATGGACACTGCTAAGAGTGAGGACATGGAATAAGGCAATTAAAACAAATCCATCTCTCTAAGAGGTTACTGTCAATTTGATAAAATGAGTGTGTGGTGAAAAGATACATATTTATTGTAATTTTAAGTCCCACAAGTAACTAAATTCCTGTAATGTTTTAAGTGTCATCAACAAAAGGCTTACTGAGAAGCCAGAAGACAGAGTGATAAAGCTAGGGGACTTGGGGAAGGTAATATATATTAAGAGGCATTTCAATAGAAATGAGGAGGCCATTTCTTTGTTAAAACTGTTTTCCATTCTTGGCTCCTGTCAATGAATATGTGCTACTGAGGTTCTTCCCTTAATTCCGCCTTTTCCTGCTGAGTGTTGTTCTGTTTTTTTCCTGAGTTTCAGGGAAAGAGTAGGGGAATCTCTAGTGTCATTATAAGGGGAAATGAAGAGGTGCTGTATCTTGAATCCCAGGCTGTAAAAAGGAATCAAGTGAACAGTGGGCCAGTGAGTGTGAGGGATCAGTATCTTCTTCTTGCCTTTGTGAGGAGTCTGTTTTCATGGCTTCAATTCTACTAGTCTCTGCCAATGATAGTCCTGATTTTTAATTCCCATACTATTTTATTTATTTACATATATTTTTGAGAGAGAGGGTCTTGCTCTGTCACCCAGACTGGAGTGCTGTGTCTTGATCATAGCTAACTGTACTGTATCATTGATCTCCCTGGCTCAAGTGATCCTTCCATCTTAGCCTCTGGAGTAGCTAGGACTACAGGTGCATGCCACCATGCCCAGCTAAAGCTTTTTATATTCTGTAGAGACAGGGTCTTGCTATGTTGCCCAGTCTGGTTTTGGACTCCTGGCCTCAAGAGATCCTCCGACCTTGGCTTCTGTATTGGGATTATAGGTGTGAGCTACTGCACCTGGCTCCCTACCCTATTTTTAGTATGTTGTTGTCCTTCCAATTTAAGACATCTTGTAAACAGAACTGAACTCTACCCCTCTCAGCTAGCTCCTTTTATGAACTCCCCTGTTTATTGGAAGCTCCATTTCTCGTTTTTTCCCATTCTGGTGACAGATTAACCATTTCCTACGTATTCACAGTTGAAATTTTAAAATTGTCTTTGCCTGTGAGAGATTAAGAGAAATATGAATAATCATTCTTGGCATCTTAAGAGGTTTTTTGTTTTTGTTTTTGTTTTTTTTTTTAAGTACTGTACTGTGTATTTTGTAGCTATTATTTCAAAAGGAAAAGATGAAAAGGGACCTTTGCTTAGTATAATGCTTAGTTTATGAAGGCTTAGAAAATCCTTAAAAGATTATTGATAGAAGTCCAAGACGTCTTGCTTGCCCTAAAGGTGCTTTTGTTTTTGTCTTATAATTAATATGTGTATAAAATAATTAACTACACTGAATAAGAAAGTTTTTACTAAATGTGTGGTAGAACCTCTTAATACCGCTTTCACTGGGAGGGCAAACCTCAAAAGACATACTTGTACATACTTACTATACATGCTATCTATTTCCTTTCCTTTTTTTTTCTCTTAAGTACCTAACCATATTGCAACACATTTTCCTTATTCGTCACATTGCCTGTCTCATCTTACTTCCCCCAAAAGCTACCTGAGGGCAAGGATTTTTGTCAGTTTTATTCATTGTTGTATCTGCAAAGTCTGATACGTAGTAGAGATTCAAATATTTGAATGCATAAATGAATATTGGTGGCTCACAACTGTAATCTGTCTGGCACTTTGGGAGGCCAAGGTGGAAGGGAGGATTGCCTGAGCCCAGGAGTTCATGACCAGCCTGGGCAACATGGCGAAACCCGGTCTCTACCAAGAATACAAAAAATTAGCCTGGTATGGTGGCATGCACCTGTAGTCCGAGCTGCTCCCGGCTGAGGTGGGAGGATCACTTGAGCCTGGGAGGCAGAGGTTGCAGTGAACTGAAATCATGCCACTGCACTGCAGTCTGGATGACAGAGTGAGACCCTGTCTCAAAAAAAGAAAAAGAAAAATTAATGTTCTAAATTCTGGTGACATTATATGTTGTAATTAGTAAATATGTCCATATGTATAAAATACATATTAGGGATTAGAGATAGAAATTTGATTTAGATATGAATATTTGTGTAATTTTACATATAACAGATTAAATGAGATAATTTATATTAATGAATTAATATATTTAAATTGATAACAGTTCAACATTTTTTATTTAAAAAAATAACTAGCTATCATTAAGTGAATCCTTTTTTTATAGGAAGGAGAGGGACTGATTGAGAAAGGGTTCTGGAATTGATAGCACTGTTCTATTTCTTGTATTGTGTTTATGTGGATGTATAGTTCTTAATATGTATTGAGCTGTATATTGTTTATGTACTTTTTAAATAAATGTTATATTTCATTATAAAGATACTCAAAATGCCTACAGAAATCAGAGGAAGAGGAGCATGGTGTGTTAGTGTGCTGTATTAGCATGGCAGTTCTTGTAGGTCTTCTAAGTGTAATGCTATTCATTTATGGTGCAACTACTATGGACACTGCTAAGAGTGAGGACATGGAATAAGGCAATTAAAACAAATCCATCTCTCTAAGAGGTTACTGTCAATTTGATAAAATGAGTGTGTGGTGAAAAGATACATATTTATTGTAATTTTAAGTCCCACAAGTAACTAAATTCCTGTAATGTTTTAAGTGTCATCAACAAAAGGCTTACTGAGAAGCCAGAAGACAGAGTGATAAAGCTAGGGGACTTGGGGAAGGTAATATATATTAAGAGGCATTTCAATAGAAATGAGGAGGCCATTTCTTTGTTAAAACTGTTTTCCATTCTTGGCTCCTGTCAATGAATATGTGCTACTGAGGTTCTTCCCTTAATTCCGCCTTTTCCTGCTGAGTGTTGTTCTGTTTTTTTCCTGAGTTTCAGGGAAAGAGTAGGGGAATCTCTAGTGTCATTATAAGGGGAAATGAAGAGGTGCTGTATCTTGAATCCCAGGCTGTAAAAAGGAATCAAGTGAACAGTGGGCCAGTGAGTGTGAGGGATCAGTATCTTCTTCTTGCCTTTGTGAGGAGTCTGTTTTCATGGCTTCAATTCTACTAGTCTCTGCCAATGATAGTCCTGATTTTTAATTCCCATACTATTTTATTTATTTACATATATTTTTGAGAGAGAGGGTCTTGCTCTGTCACCCAGACTGGAGTGCTGTGTCTTGATCATAGCTAACTGTACTGTATCATTGATCTCCCTGGCTCAAGTGATCCTTCCATCTTAGCCTCTGGAGTAGCTAGGACTACAGGTGCATGCCACCATGCCCAGCTAAAGCTTTTTATATTCTGTAGAGACAGGGTCTTGCTATGTTGCCCAGTCTGGTTTTGGACTCCTGGCCTCAAGAGATCCTCCGACCTTGGCTTCTGTATTGGGATTATAGGTGTGAGCTACTGCACCTGGCTCCCTACCCTATTTTTAGTATGTTGTTGTCCTTCCAATTTAAGACATCTTGTAAACAGAACTGAACTCTACCCCTCTCAGCTAGCTCCTTTTATGAACTCCCCTGTTTATTGGAAGCTCCATTTCTCGTTTTTTCCCATTCTGGTGACAGATTAACCATTTCCTACGTATTCACAGTTGAAATTTTAAAATTGTCTTTGCCTGTGAGAGATTAAGAGAAATATGAATAATCATTCTTGGCATCTTAAGAGGTTTTTTGTTTTTGTTTTTTTTTTTTTTTTTAAGTACTGTACTGTGTATTTTGTAGCTATTATTTCAAAAGGAAAAGATGAAAAGGGACCTTTGCTTAGTATAATGCTTAGTTTATGAAGGCTTAGAAAATCCTTAAAAGATTATTGATAGAAGTCCAAGACGTCTTGCTTGCCCTAAAGGTGCTTTTGTTTTTGTCTTATAATTAATATGTGTATAAAATAATTAACTACACTGAATAAGAAAGTTTTTACTAAATGTGTGGTAGAACCTCTTAATACCGCTTTCACTGGGAGGGCAAACCTCAAAAGACATACTTGTACATACTTACTATACATGCTATCTATTTCCTTTCCTTTTTTTTCTCTTAAGTACCTAACCATATTGCAACACATTTTCCTTATTCGTCACATTGCCTGTCTCATCTTACTTCCCCCAAAAGCTACCTGAGGGCAAGGATTTTTGTCAGTTTTATTCATTGTTGTATCTGCAAAGTCTGATACGTAGTAGAGATTCAAATATTTGAATGCATAAATGAATATTGGTGGCTCACAACTGTAATCTGTCTGGCACTTTGGGAGGCCAAGATGGGCAGATCACTTAAGGCCAGGAGTTTGAGACCAGCCTGGCCAACATGACAAAACCCCATCTCTACTAAAATATAAAAATCAGCCAGGTGTGGTGGTGTATGCCTGTAATCCCAGCTACTCAGGTGGCTGAGGCATGAGAATCTCCTGAACCTGGGAGGCAGAGGTTGCCGTGAGCTAAGATCGCGCCACTGCACTCCACTCTGGGTGACAGAACAAGACTGTCTCAAAAAAAAAAAAAAAAAAATTTTTTTTTCAGTAAGATCTTCTCTGACTCTGCTAAATATAATAGCATCCCCCTTTTAATTCTTCATTCCTTAATTACCTTGCTCTGTTTTTCTACATGGCTTACCATTACTTGATACTATATATTTATGGGTTTGTCTTCTCCTACTTGATTTTAAACTCTGAGGGCAAGAACTTTGTTTTATTCATAGCTGTGTTCATTCTAGTGCCTAAAACGGTATCTGGTTGATGGCTGGTGTTCAACAAATATTTATAGATGAATAAATTAAAAGTATATGAATGCAACTAAATGCCCTTTTTTTGAGGGGGGGTATCTACTTGATTGTTTTAATGAGTTACTGCCTTTTGTGAAGGAGCGTATTTTGTTTTGTCAGTGCCTCAGTATTGATCGTTTGTTGCGAAAAGCACCTAAAATCTTACCCTTCTTTTTTGTTAAGCTATATGTGAAACAGAGCCTGAACAGCCTGTTCGACATTACCCATTATGGGTAAAAGTAGAAGGTGAAGTAGATCCAGAACCAGTTTATATCCCCACACCTTCTGTCATTGAGCCTATGAAACCGTTGTTATTGCCTCAGCCAGAAGTTTTATCTCCTACTGTGAAGGGCAAACTGCTCACTGGAATTAAATCTGCACGGTCATACATTCCCAGACCCAATCCCGTGGTAAGTTTGGAATTTAATCCTTTATTATGAGTTACCAAAGTCACATGTAAAGATGATGTGTTTCAACTAAATTTTTGGTTGATATTTTGTGAATCATTTTGCTTTCAGTAATACGTTTATAAGACATCTTCCTTTCTGGTTTAATCAGTTTAGTGCTGGCACTTTAAAAATGTCTTAAAAGTAGAAATGAGTAGTAGTAATTTTAAAAAACAGCCATCTTCTCTTCAAGAAGATCATAGAAAGATGGGCTTTTTTACATGACTTGGAAAAAGTTTTAAAAGATACTGCTCCTGTATTGTAGAATATTAATAGTCAAGATAAGCAGTATATATTATTAGTAGAAAAACATGAGGAAAAAGCTTTTAAAAGCAAATTTAAAAATGCACAATAATATCAGTAAAGTTTAAGATTTAAAGTAACAGTTAATATAATATGACTGTGAAGACTGGTAGGTAAAAGTAGGAAGTTATTCATTGTGTTAATGGCTTAAGCAAGTCTTATTATCAAATCCATATATCCTACTAGTCCATTAGATTGAAGAAAAGTCCTATACTACGATGCTACTGAATATGTTCTCTGTAGCAGAGCTATTATAGCATAAAACTGTTTGTTTCTGGCCTGTGATGGAATAGGCAAGGGTAGGCTGGGCGCGGTGGCTCACACTTGTAATCCCAGCACTTTGGGAGGCTGAGGTGCGTAGATCACCTGAGGTCGGGAGTTTTGAGACCAGCCTGGCCAACATGGTGAAACGCCGTCTCTACTAAAAATACAAAAAATTAGCCCTGTGTGGTGGCTCATGCCTATAATCCCAGCTACTCGGGAGGCTGAGGCAGGAGAATCGCTTGAACCTGGGAGGCGGAGGTTGTGGTGAGCTGAGGTTGCACCACTGCATTCCAGCCTGGATGACAGAGCAAGACTCCATCTCAAAAACAACAGCAAAACCTGAAAAAGGCAAGAGTTAGGGCTGCTGATCTCCACGCAGTCAAAATTCTGCATGTAACTTTCAGCTTCCCTAAAACTGAACAATAGTGTACTGTTGACTGGAAGCCTTACCAATAACGTAAACAGTCAACACATATTTGTATGTTATATATAGTATATACTATATTCTTACAATAAAGTGAGCTGTGGAAAAGAAAATGTTACTAAGAAAATAATAAGGGAAAGAAAGTGTTGTTATTGTTCATTAGTGGATCATCATAAAGGTCTTCATACTCACTGTGTTCACATAGAGTAGTCTGAGGAGGAAGAGGAAGGGTTGATTTTACTGTCTTGGTGACAGAGGTGTAAGAAAATCCCTATGTGAGTGGACCCACATAGTTCAAACCTGTGTTGTTCAGGGGTCAACTGTACAGAAAAGAAGAGTAAATATTTAGAAATTTCTACAGCAAGTTGATTAGACTGAATCTAATATTAAAAAAACCTTGCATTTTATATATTTTTAGTTTTTCTAGTAATTTATTGTATTTACTAAAGTGTCAGTCTATGATGGACTGGTAATTAGGAATGTATCCTTCATCATAGGTAATTTGAAATGCACTGTTCTGATATGATCTGAAATTTCCTGATAGAGAACTGGATCCTTTCTGACTATCCTAAGATTAGGGCTTATGAACTGTACTTGTGCTATTTGATTTTAAAGTTGGCATTAAAAAATTTCAACTGTTGTAATAGAAAAAAAACATTCGTTTTGTTTTGGGGTCTTGGGGAGTTTTTCCCATTGTATGGAATGTTTTGTTGTATGAAATTTACAGATTCGGGAAGAGGACAAAGATCCCGTCTACTTGTACTTTGAAAGTATGATGACTTGTGCTCGAGTTCGAGTGTATGAGCGAAAAAAAGAGGACCAGAGACAACCGTCTTCTTCCTCCTCCCCATCTCCATCATTTCAGCAGCAGAGTTTATGTCATTCTAGCCCTGAGAACCATAGTAATGCAAAGGTGAGTTTCTTGTTGCATAATTTCTTTTCAATTTCTAATTCCCTGTTTTTGGTGTTAAGATTTGCATTACTATCAGGATAATCTACTAATTGTCCTACAGGGTAGAGAAGTTATATGTGACATGTTTGTCAGTTTATTTCTCTGTGTACCTATTGTATGATATGTCCCTTAGGGTTATTACAAGTATTATTCTTTCTTGGTTGGGCGCCGTGGGTCATGCCTCTAATCCCAACACTTTGGGACGCTGAGGCAGGAGGATCAGTTGAGCCCAGGATTTCAAGACTAGCCTGACCAATATGGTGAAACCTTGTCTTTACTAAAAATACAAAAAAAAAATTAGCTGGGCCTGGTGTCGCATGCCTGTAAACCCAGCTACTTGGGGCGCTGAGGAACGAGAATTGCTTGAACTTGGGAGGCGGAGGTTGGAGATTGCAGTGAGCTGCTATCATGCCAGTTTACTCCAGCTTGGGTGACAGAGTGAGACTCTGTTTAAAAATATATATATATTGCCCTTTCCGCCATCTTTCCGCGCCGCTAAAATGGTGCGCATGAATGTCCTGGCTGATGCTCTCAAGAGCATCAACAATGCC